CCCCCCCGAATACATGCCGCTTTCTTCTACTTTTATATGGCCTACCACCCCTTTTGGTCCTTCTACCCTGTTTTGGCCTCCACATTTTTCTGGCCTCTCGTTCCCTTCAGCCACCCACCACATTTTGGCCTCCTACCTCTTTTCAGCCTCTCATCTCTTTGTGACTACCAGATCTTTTGGCCTCTGTTTCCCAGCCTCCCTTTTTGGCTTCCTGCAGCATTTTGGCACTGCCCCCCACCCCTTTATTTGGGCCTTGATGTGCTCTTTGAAGAATTGAACCTACTGATTGTTTCATCTCTCTGTCTTGTTCTCTCTTGCTGTCTTTTCTCATGCTCTACCTCTGTCTTTTACTCTGTTGCTATTGTTGGTTCCCGGCTAGCATTCTACTCCTTGTCTCTCTTCTGCAGTCATCTGCTCTCTGGCTCCCTGTCCCTCACCTCTCTTTGATGCCTCTGTGCTGCCTCCTCTTTCCTGATCACTCTAGCCTGTTTGCATCGCTGGCTTGGCACTCTTTCTCCACCTCTCTGCCTTGGTCCTGTCCCTCTCCTCATCTCTTGGTTGCTACTGTTTCTTTCTCCATCACTGCCTCACTGCCTGTCCCTTTTTTACTCTCTGTCCTCCATCCTCTCCCAAAGATTTTGCCTGTAGAGCTCCATACCACTGCCTATGCCATTGTTTCTTGCTATATCAATCTGCCCAGTCAGTGTCCCATTATTTTTTGTCTGGTGGTCCCAGGCTTGTTTCAAATCCTGCAACCCAGCCATGGTTTTTCTCTCTCCTAGTTTTCCTGATAGGGTTAGGGTTATTTGGGTTAGGGTTAGTGGGGGAGAGCTGAGCACACACATGACCAATGTGATCAAGCAATGCCTGTTTATTACAACTAGGAAAGCCCTTTTATAATGTTCTCCTGCAGACCTGAGTAACATGCAGTACAAGTCCTCAAGGTTGGACAGTTAACTTAGCCCGCGCTTTAAACCTTATGATTGGATAAAACGTGCCACATTAGCTGTGCCAGGCTTTCTGCCTTGTGGAACTTCCTCTTCTGTCCCAACCCCTTCCGGGGGTCGTTTGTCTCATTGAGTTTCTTCCCCCTTCACTCAGGGTTACATCCTTAATGCGTTCTTGCTCAGGCTGAGGCTCTTATCAGTCTTGTTCTCACACAGGATTGCTCACATGTCCATTCTCTCGCAGGAAGTCCTCTTGAATCCCAACAGCGGGCGACAGGAAAAGTCAGCAGGGAAACTAGAACTTCCATTCCTTAGCAGTGGGCGGGGGAATGGAGGATGGATTTATATCTGACAGCTCACTAAAACTAATAGAGGAGATCTATTGATGACAGCTATTGTAGGTCCTAAGCATGCACCCGTTACCTTTTTAATGGACACCGGTGCACAGATCTCTGCCCTGACTGAGGAAGATGCACAGAGGTGTGGGGTGGTTCCCTCTAAACGAAATGTTTGTGTCCTGAATGCTTTAGGGTTGATAGAGGTTATGAATGTTGCTCTGGTAAGGCTGATGTTACTGGGAGAGGAAAGCACGGTCACTATTAACATGGTGATTTTCTCTGTGTCTTCCATCCTCTCACAAACATTTTGCCTGTAGAACTCCATACCACTGCCTGTCCAATTGTTTCTTGCTATATCACTCTGCCCAGTTCTGTGTCCTATTACTTCTTGTGTTGTGCTCTCTGGCTTTTTTCATATCCTACAGCCCAGCCATGGTTTTTATCTCTCCCTCTAGTTTTCCTGATAGTGCATGTTTTTCTGTCTCTTATTTCCTCAACCACTCCAGCTTGTCCTGTACCTTTTGTATCGCTCTTGCTTCTGTTCTAAATCTATTTCTCTCTCAATATATCTGTTCTGCTCCTCGCTTATCAGTTTCCTCTCTTTCCTCTGCCCTACTCTTGCACATAGTATGTGATCGAGTGAGGTTCCATGTCTAGCAGGCCTCATCTCGTAAGAGCTGTGAGACACCTACATATTCTTTTAAGTGGAGGACATCCAGGCAACTGGAGCTATAGGAGAGGAAGGA